CAATTTAAAACAATTCCACACTGCAAACGTTTAGTTGTTTTTTAACTCTTAAAGGACTCGCTGCCACAAGTTGTGTCTAACGTCTGTTAATTAAACAAAGGCTGAGATTGGCGTGGCATATTATTTCACACAAGTGGAAATGTTCAATATAAATGATCTAAATAGTGTTAACTCACTTTGATGATGTGTACCTGCCATTCATTTCAGTGGGAGTATGGAGCCAGCTTTCCACAGAGGGGACCTGCTGTTTCTGACCAACCGGGTAGAGGACCCCATCAGAGTCGGAGAGATAGTTGTCTTCAGGATAGAAGGCAGAGAGATCCCAATAGTACACAGAGTACTAAAAATCCATGAAAAGTATGAATACACATTTTATTAGTAGTGTTGGCCATGATTCATTTGTACCTTCAGTATCATTGAGTCCCATGCCGGTGTGTCAAACCCGAGAATGTCATTCACAGTATTGAACTGTATTGAAAAGCTATCTATAAATGCTCAGAGAGGACGCCGTGATATTTCACGCTCGTCATGCATCCTCATCCAGACACAGATGTGTTGAAAAGGAGGACTTGGTGTTCGCTGTGGTCTAAAATTACACTGGTGCTTTGTCTACAGGGAAAATGGAGACATTAAGTTCTTGACCAAAGGGGACAACAACGCAGTGGACGACAGAGGACTGTACAAGCAGGGCCAACACTGGCTGGAGAAAAAGGATGTGGTGGGACGAGCTAGGGGGTAAGTACATTGTGTGGAAGAAAAATCCATAATGATAAAGACATCTTAATAACACAATAGGACAGATAACTTCACCTATTGAAGTATCTTTATACAGACACCTTAATAACACAATAGGACAGATAACTTCACCTATTGAAGTATCTTTATACAGACACCTTAATACCACAATAGGACAGATAACTTCACCTATTGAAGTATCTTTTGGATATGTTTCTCACACAAAACTGGAGGAGAATTGCAATCAATGAAAGTTTGAAAAGTCAAAGAATATGTATTAAATTCAGTAGTCTGTATTGGCGAGATAAAACAATGCGTGTGCCAAGGCTTTGCTGGGGTAGACTCAATAAAAACAACACTTACAATCAAATGGTTCTAATCTCATTTTCACTGGTTGGTGAAAAAGAGAAGAAGGTCGTATGCAAAAAGCAGCAATTTCCCATCTTTGATGTTTAAGATTTGGGGATTAGAGTTGTTCTATTATTTTTGCTACTTAATATATATTGAACAAGGTAGGACTTAAGCAATTCATGCCAGTGAGAGGGCTAATGTAGGGAGCTCTGTCTGACGCGCCATGTTCAAACAAATAGCACGACTCCATTACTGCGTTCTGGTTGTTTATTGTACAGACAAAACAAAAAACCCTGCCAGATGTGGTGTGCATGATGCAATATTGCGGGAAAAACTGGACAACAGATAAGAACAAGCAGGTGCACGGGAAATATTAATTGCACCTCCACACACAGAGATTAAAGACGTCCGTTGCTCCTACAGATAGGAAGGGCATTGAACACATAGCTGTGTGTTTGAGCAGATGTTCATCCCGGAATACGGCTGTCAAGATCATGAAATTTGAGATAAATCTTCAAACAATTAATAGCAATTTACGGTTTAATTGTCTTTTTCATTCTATGCCACACAGCGGTGCTGTTAAGTTTGGCTTTGCAACTAGACCGAAATCCATGTTAAAGATTTGAATGGCTGCTCATTGAAATGATGTCGTGAATTCATCTTCAAATAGTTTGCTGAAACTTATTTTAAACGGCTCGTTCTAAATCTGTTGTATAGGCTGCCTGTAACAAATGTAACAAAAGTGCTCCAAGACTTTCAATGAATGTAGAAGTAGGCTTGAAAAATAAATATGCAACAGGGATTAAACGTACCAGCTTCAGCTCCCAGAGCGAGGACGGTAGGCACAGGAGAGACTGCCTCTTGAGGAGCTGCAGTGTTTATCAGAGGCAAACCCTGATAAATCAAGAGACCTGTTACTGGCACCTCTCTATCATCCTCTTGCTTTGGAGAGCAACAACCATGGTGTCATATGAGCTGAAACAGAAGAACCCGTCCAACAGGTCCTCGTGCTCAGGCAGACGGCTTATTTAACCAGCTGATGGAACTGCATCTATTTCACTTTCTATTTGTAACATTGGCTTTGATTGTGGAATCTGACGACTACGCAAAATGATTACGATCAGCTCAAACGAAATAAAGAACAAAATGATTGAGACAGGCCCAAACCATAAAGGTGTCTTCTGATTATATTTTACCATCATAAGCGGCAATCATTTCTGCTCTCTAATGTCTGAGTACATCCCTGATGCTAGCAAAAGTCATGAAAGTTTTTTTTATTCAGTGACGTAAGTTGTGGACCTTTTGTATACAGACATGTACGATGCATCAATCTCTTGACAGTAAGTTTTTTTTTTATCATCTCCAGGTTTGTGCCATACATTGGAATTGTCACCATTCTCATGAATGATTACCCCAAGTTCAAAGTAAGTTGGTCGACCCCATCGCACCTTTGACAAGATTTGCTTAGTTTTTAAGCTTGAACATATTCGGCATGTCCATCTAACCTGTTGAATCTCCTGTCTTCATTCTGCAGTATGCTGTTCTCTTCATGCTGGGTCTCTTTGTGTTGGTCCATCGAGAGTGAGACACCCAAACGTCACGACTCAAATAAGATAAACTACGTCCAGGAAACCTCAGTCATGCCTTTCAAAACAGAATTAAATTAGATTTTGTCAAAACCCAACTGGCTTTTTTGTACCATTTGTTTGAGCATTTTGTAGAAATGTGGATAGGGTGTTTTACATTGACAAATTCAAGCTTTAAAAATATTTTTGTGAGGGATCTCGGCTCGATTTAGTTTGAAATGTATCTTTATTTGTAATCCTCAGAATATGAAACCACATTCATCAAGAGGAGTTAAGTTGTGTTTCTTTTCTGTTGATTCATTGTCTTTGAAAAAGATATGTGAAGTATTTTATGAAAAGTGAATATGAATGACATTAAATATGAAATCTGGTTATGATCCACTCTAGGTTATTTTAACTCTTTGTCTCATTTTCTCATGTTACATTAAAAGCCACTGTCCACCCTGCAGTGATGACATTTATTTAAAAGCAATATCGGGTGATCGCGCAACAGCAATCTGCAAATATTGAAGACCTGTCACAAGATATTGCCAGTGATAGTGATAGCACACAAGATAGTGTGCCTACATCAACTTTTATTAATATACAGAATCAAATGACTTAAGTTTTTGTCTAGTATTTGTTTCAGGGAGTATTTTCTCATCTGGAAATCTTTTTGCAGGAAAATTGTTACTAATCCAAAATACTGTTAAGCAATACCTTTTTATAGAGAATTGTAAAATATAAAGTTCCTTAAAGTAAGATGTGTGTGATGGGGATGGATTTCATGCAACCTGTTTTTAATTCTTAAAGCTAAATACCCTATAAAACCAGTAGCAAGCTCTGGCAAATTAGGGTGAATTTGCCAAACTACCAGAAATAATTTCTTGCTTACACATTTTCATGTAAATTAAATGATGTAACGGGTTTTTTGATAATTTTCTCATGTAAAGGTCACTGGGGGGGTGCACACACACTGCCTCTGTGTTAAGTGGGCTTAGCGTTGAGTGTTGACCTTGTTTCTGTTTTCTTCTTCTACACAATGGGAGCACATCCCTGAAAGTGTACTTGCAGTCAGGATGAAATTGTCTGAGGCTTTCCAACGCAGCCATGTAATCATACAGTAGTATGGATCAAAATATAGCCATTTGACTAAAATTGTATTCGGTCGTCGTCTCCTCTAGATCCCAAAGACCTTGATCTTGTCTGTTGTGTGGAGCTTTTTATCTCTTTCATGTTCGGACACAAAAGCATGCTTCAGTGGTCACAAATGGACATAATGAATCAAACAAGGATTAGGAAATTAAAATATCAAGCAGTCTCCTTTAAAACTGCTTTTTTGATACAACTTTGTATAGTTCTGTTAGTAAGCTATTAGTTGAAGCATGAGCTTCTACACTGCCAGCTTCTCATTTTGCTGTGTCCCTGAGTGAACAAAGCAACACCAAGTAACCCCAGAAATGAATTGTGATATTCATCACCTCTTTTAAGGAAAATGCAGTGTTGCACAAAGCCACTGTTGTCCCAGTTCATCTAATCTGTGAACTTCATAAGAGTGATGCTGTGATGGTCAGACAGTCTTCTAATTAGACTGACATTCAGCTGCGCAGAATGTCTGAAATCACAAGTGTGTGTGTGTGAATGCCAAAGGTTATGAAAAGAGCAAGATGTGACCTGCAGCCCTTCCACTAAACCTGCATCTTTAGCACCCTAAAGTGACAAAGAGGCTGTCTGTCTTATCCGCTCTAAATTAGCAGTGAGAATCAGCAGGTTCTCCTGTCCTCAGAGGACTGATGGTGATCACAGCAGCATGCTGCAACTGGCCAAATGTCATGTTGCTCATTGTTGGGGGCCAGACCTGGCTTTTATTAATGGTGGCAATATACTTTATGTTGTGGCATATCATATGTGATTGGTTTCATGTGAATTGTAAGAGCTTGATGAATTTATTTTAGGGAGTTTTTGTCTAAGAAATATAAATGCAGCCTTACTCATCATCCCCAAAAACGTCTGAAAATCCCTCAACCTTTAACAGGAGAAAGTAAAATCAAATCTCATTTAATGAAACCCCACCAAACATTTGCGCACTGGTATTTTGCTGCTTGTGTAATTTGGTGTCTGAGAAGACTATTTTTCATCAAATATAACCGAGTTAATAAAGAGGAATCGTGTGATGCGTAAATACGCACAGCCAAAGGCTGGATCCAACACAACCTTGACAATGACTCCGATGAGTTTAATGCAGCTGGCTGAATCAAAAGTTAACTACACGCAACATAAGCAGAGCCCACCCCGCACAGGACAGCCTATAAAAGCAGGATGCGTCTGAGCAATCCACGACCAACAGGAGACACTTGAAAATCTGCACCCTGGAGGACAGTTCGCCACTCCACGCTGAGATGAGAGGGTTTACGCTGAATACTGTTTGCCACTGTGGCTTATTTGCTGGTCTTGTCCTCTTTTCTTTCATGTCTTTCACCACTGCAGTCAGTTTTGACCTGACTGAGCTTAGGAATAAAGTTGCAAAAATTAAAGTGAATCCAAGAGGCAATCTTTGGGCTACAGGTAAGAAGAACAATCGTCTTTAAACGCTGTGGACCAGTCGGTCATATTTGTATGGAATGGAATCAAATGAATGAAATGTCTTTCTTTTTCTCATGTAATACCCATACATTTCGTTTTACATGATAACATTGTCTGCCTCTAATGATATTGCTGTTCTTGCTGTTGTCATGTCCCTAAAAGGTTTGTTCTCCCCATAGTTTGAATCTATATTCACGAGCGTTGTCTTTGACTTGGCAGGACATTTCATGGGCAAGAAGAGCGTGATGGACACCCCCCTGCTGCCTCCAGCTCAGGGGCAGGGCGTCGATGCGCTGGAAGTCAGCCTTCCCGTGGAGCAGAGCGCCCTCGTGGAGCTTTTTCACGAGTTCCTGCGGGTAGCGTTGCAAGCGCAGGTGGACACACAAGAGAGCCGCACGAAAAATCAGGTGATTACCACTAGTGTGCAAACGTTTTTTTTGCGCAGAAAAATGAACTTAAATGGAATTGTTATTGAATATGATGTTATGGGCTCTCTGTTTCAGGATGCGGAAATGTTGATGAAGATTTTAGAAAGCTACATCCAAAGCAGAAAGTGATACAGAGGATGTCTGTCGCGCATGAACACGGATTCCATGTCATCTGACCTGATGGGTTAAAATAAATACGTTAGACGCAGTTTACAGTCTCCTGCTCATCATGATTGTAATTTACCGTAACTGTCTGATCATCATCTGCCATTTGCAATACACGTAAAGATGTTTTTCTTCAATTTACTTTGATGATGATGTTCACATTGTCTTGTCGTTAAAAGTTATTTATATTTAATAAAATAATTATTTGCACTGCTTTGACTTTGATCTGCGGCAGATACATTATGATATGTTAATGGCTCACGTTTTGAGTCACTGAAATGTTGTCGGCACACAGAAATGCTTCATTATGGCTACTCCACTATACTTGCTGTTTGATTCTTAATGGAGAATAGCATATGTATGTCCTCTAGTGAGAAACGTATGAGGCATTTGGGGCATCGCCAGTGCACGTGGTGTTCTAAAATGAACAGGTTCTGTAATTGTGTAAATCCTAGCTTGAAAACTTTAACATTCTGTTTGCCTCCACAAGGGTCTGATACATTTGACCCCCACAGTCCTTATTTATAGGCCCAACACTAACAACTGATTGCTAAGTATGAGTAAGATTTCTTTTTCACTTTTGTACTCAAGGCATTTCCAAAATAACACTTATATAAATCCGAATAGGCATTTTATATAAATCACACTTTCTAGTTTTCTGAATATTTTGACATGAAATCAATATTATCTTTTGTACTTTTCCCGTCCTTGCATAGAGGGATGATTCTCTCGATCAATAGTGGTGAGGTGAGATGGCCTATTCTTTGCCTTGGGCTAATCCATTGTAGATAAAGGGAAAGCTATTCATATCTCTCCCACAAGGCCTTGACTGTTGCTTTACATCCGTTGTATTCAGAGTTGTCACTGGTGGGAGGAAACATAGACTTTAATCCACTATTCATAGTTGTGTAATCTAGATTTCTGGTTAGCTCAACAAGTTTGGCCCAGTAAGAAACTCAGAATAAAGAACAGTTAATTAGGTTCACAAAAACATAAATGCAATCCAATACAGCAGTCCTGAAATGAATACCTTCATGAATGTTTAAATGTTGAAACTGTTTCTTTATGGTCATTTTGGAGGCTGTAATTTGTGGTGCTGTTGAATTGAGGTGTTCTGATAATCTGTACAAAATAGTTTTCTTCTTTTTTCTATGAATACAGATTTTAAACTATAACCTTATTTTGCCAAACAACCTTGAACATCTGTAACTCTCAGGTGCAGAACATTGTACATAAGTAGGTTAGACTACAAAATTGGGTAGAATTTGATAAAAAATGAGCCTGTTCAGTAGGTTACATGAAATTTGAGTTAAATAAAAACATTCAAACTTGCACTCAGCTTTGATGAGGAGAGTGAGTAACTTAAGAACACATTCTTGTTTTGGTTAAAAAGGTTCTTTTTGGTTACCTGTAAAAGTGCAAACTCTTCCTTAGTCTTTGCAGTGAAAACACTCAGAGCCAAATTTCAGACATTTGTATTGCCTAATAATGAATCAGCATAGCTTGTTATTTTTACTGATGCACATGTACACAAGATGTTCTTGTCTGTATTTGAATACTGAGGGAAATTTCATCTTCAAATGCAAATATTGCGTCTTCTATTAATTAACTTGAAATCTCAGGCATGTTGTTAATCTGTCGCACAGTGCGGGCCAATGCGTTGATCCAATAATAGTTCATTTTTAGTTAGTAGAGTTAAGATGAGTGAGGGAACGACTGGAATGTACAAAAATTTAACATCAAAAAGATGCCCCTAATATTTCACTATACACTGAATTGTCCATCAACAATATTTATAGATAGTCATCCAAGAGGACTCTGAACTCTCTGCTGTGATGTGATTAAAATAATTCAAATGAAAAGTTCACGTGGCTTAAAGACTCAATAGTTTAGCCATGTTGTGTATAATAGCTAATGGGGAGACTATGGCTATTAAATAATTCCAATCAGCATAAAACAACACAGCAGACGACCAGAAGAACTACTAGACTATATTCAGCAGGGAATCAAATACTGAGTGCTCAATGGAGGCATTCTGCATCCCCCACATACATTGGCCACCTTATATATGTCCTCATCTTAAATAGGTTAAATGGGACTTTTAATACTGATATTTTCATTTTCTTATAACCGTGAGTCAAATCTGTTTTATTTTTAGATAGCTGCAATGTTATCCAAATCATGGTCTGTTATCCTAAATCGCTGCTGTGTGACAAATTTATATTTTTCAGTAAGGGATCAGTAATCTCTTTGCTTATATTTTGAGGAAAGAAACCAGCAACATGATTTACAGTCGACACGCTCTTATTTTAACTCGTCACATGCTGACGCTTTGTCAGACCCTTTGTCTTCACTTTATTATAACTTGTTTCTTGGACAGTTTTGTTTCTCACTAACTTAAGCTTTGCTTGTAAATGTGATTCATACGTCATGTGTCATGTGATTTCAATTTGAACAAACACAACAGATAGAGAACATCACTGTTTATCATACAATAGTGATCTCACTCAATTTACATTCGTGCACAATCAATTTATGATGATTTATCATTTTTGTCACTAAATTGAAATGAATAAATGTCGTGTTTTCATCTGGCATGCAAAAGAGGAGAATGTGTAAACTCAACCAAGGCCTTTTGCTTTTCAGTAAGTAAAGACCCACTCTAAACTTAACCAGTGTAATTTACAACAACATTAACCAAACAGCCATTACTGTCCATAGTGCATGGCGAGAAAGTCTGTTAATCTATGTACAAACTGTAAGTCATTCACATATTCATTGGAAATTATATAGTTGTAAACAAATATGTCCCAAACTGACGTTGGAACTTTTTACACTATGTCTTTGACTTCCTGCATATGTGCTTGTTTCTTTGCTTTATATTGTTCTGTGTTAATAATGACTCAATTCATAGCCAACAGGTGAAGTTGATGCATTGCACACTACGGATGTATGTTGTGTCAACAGTGCTAGCCTTGGCTTCTACTTGAATTTGTGAGTGCTTAGTTTGAACAACCAAACGCTTAAAGAGACAAATGTGTCGGGCTTTTTACTCAATAAAAACAAGGCTTCCGGCACCAGTCAAAGTCATTATGGATTGAGTGCCCCAAAGACACACATTTTCAATTGAGTAATCTATCTTGCCCTCATAGGAGATTGATAGGTTTTAGTAAAGAAAGCAGGGGCATACCACCTTCATTCATTTCTACCACGGGACTGTGTGGGTGCAGAGCACATTTTATTATTTCATTCGGACTGACCATCTGAAAAATGTATGTAGTCATCATAAGGTTTATCATGTGGTTGTAGGGTGTTTTTAACCACCCGCTGGATACATCTTCCTCTCATTTTATACTAGTGTGAAACCAGCGATGCTACACTGCCACCATGTGGCAGAAAAACACAATTAAATAAACCCAAAGCAGCTTCTATGCTGATGCTGCTTGTCAGTGTTTTTCAGCAGGCTTACAGTCGGCCTATATGTTCGTATACGCCGTTTCTGCACAAAATGATAAAACCCTCAAACAAACCATTGCACCAACACCAATAGAAGCTGTATCTTAGCTATTGCAGGCCTTCTACTTAAATTGATTTCATAACATTGAGTAATTAGCACAAATATTTTTCCCCAAAAACACTCAACTGCTAGACAGGCAGACCCAGACAGGTGACAATGATTGATGGTGTTAGCAGTGGATGTAGTTAAGCACGTCATTCTTTGATCAACTATAACAATAATGCAATTCTTCTTCTTCAAATTATTCTCCTTGCTTATGACACATTACACCCCACTGAGTTCATTTAAATCCATCCTGTGGTGAACAAATAAAGCTAAATAACATCTGAAGGTATTTCTTAACTATTCTTTAAACACAGAATTATATGATGGCCTTGTAAGAAAGTGCAGTGATTTACTTTTATAAGTAAAAACGCAGACTTCAATCAAGTTACATTCAAAACATATATTGAATGCACACGCTGCACTGTTTACGTAGAATGCAATGTACATTGTTGCAGAGCTCAACATTCAAATATACGCCATCACATTTTGTTTTGAATGGTAACGTCATTGGAGCACGTGACCTTTTTTTTTGTGACAATTTCATTGGTTGAGCCCAGAAGAATCTGCGCTTTGGGGGGCAGGACCACCGAAGCCATTTTATTATCATAACAGCAAAGGTGCAGGTGCATCAATATATTTTTTTATAGTCACACTTTTAATTTTTGCAGCTCAAGTTACCATGGGACAGTGTGGAATTACGTCATCCAAAACCGTGTTGGTTTTTCTCAATCTCATATTTTGGGTAAGAAAAGGATTTCTGTTTGGACAATGTGCAGCATCACAGTGAGGCCATGCAGGGATGGAGAGCATTAGCGAGCTAGCAAACTGCGCCAGAGATGCGCTGCAGTCCGCAGTGTAGCGATAAGACCAGCTGCCTTTTTTTAAGGCGGGATGTCCATGGTCGCAAAGGCCCACTTTAGCATTCACTGTGACGGGCACTAATGTGAGCAACAGTAATGTGAAGGTAGCAAAGCTACAGTGTGTCGGTAGCTGCCCACAAGTTGTAGCGATGACGTTATGCAGCAGCTGTTAGGTCCTGTAGCGGCTGCTATCTGAGCTATTGAATCATGCAATCAACAGTGTTGGATTAAGATGTAACGTTACATGGATATTTAATATTGCTCTATTCGGTTTATCTTTAAAAAAAGAAAGACCATATCTCCTCCTAGGATGGATGAATCATTTAGCGATAACAAGTGGCCCAGTTCACATTGCAACGGTCTTCCAAATGTGTCGTCTTTGTTTGTCAGCTTGAGCTAAATATTATTTGAATGTATGAAATAATGCATATTTTATCTTGAAGTATTTGTTTTAACCAATTTCTTTATCTATTGCCTGTATGCTATTTTACTTTGTTCTGTCTTGAATTCAATTTTGCTTTATTGGCATGACCAGAGTTAAATACAGTAGGAGAAATGCACACACTATATAACAACCAAATTACTGTACTGCACAGTATTGTATATTATAATTTTATATCATCACTAATTACAAACAGAAGAAAAGAAAATGCATTATAAGATGTAGTTTAACAATTGACAGATGAATATACAATAACAAATAAAAGTCTTTCTTTGTCTGTGCTTTGTGTGTCTCTCTGCAGGCTGCGGCTGGGATTCTATGCTACATCGGAGCCTATGTGTTTATCACATATGACGACTATGACCACTTCTTTGAAGATGTGTACACTTTGATTCCTGCTATCATAATAATAGCTGTCGGGACTCTTCTCTTCATCATCGGCTTGATTGGCTGCTGTGCAACGATACGTGAAAGCTCCTGTGGTCTGGCAACTGTGAGTGTGGACTACTGTGACTTGCACCCTGAAAATCCGCTGAACGCAGAGGAAGAGCATTTATTTTACATAGGGAGCACGAGGAAGACATAAAACAACACAACATTTGGGAAACCGTTAACTAAATGGCGCGCTGAAAAATAATTGGCAATGTCAAGTAATCATTTTATTTCTAACTCTCCTTACTAATGAGCCTCTGAACAATGTGTCTTTGTTGTCGTTTCAGTTTGCTGCCATTCTCCTGCTGGTGTTTGTAACAGAGTGTGTGGTGGTGGTGCTGGGCTACATATACAGGGCAAAGGTAAACACTGTCTCATTGGACTACAGTTGTATATCTATTTGTGTGGTATTGTATTTTGCGTCTGTCTGCTTTAATATAGTTTTGGAATATATAGTTGGAAGATAATATGGATAGCGTTCGTAGCATTAGGAGTTGACATTTTAGCAAAACTTAATATTTTGTTGCATCTTGTTTTTGTTTCAAAACTTCCTTTGCTAGGATTAATTAATGTTGACTTGTTTAGCCGCTCTCAAGTATTGCAGATCCCATTGGGTAAGAGTGTTACCCAAGGGCCTACATTGTAAATTAGCTTTTTAATAATGTGAAAAACTATCCCTTAGAGATAACATACGCAATTTGCGAACACTGAGCAGGGACAGTAACTGCTGCTGTGCTTTTGTTTTAGGTAGAGGATGAGGTGAATCACTCCATACAGAAGGTTTACAACGAGTACAATGGCACCAACACCGACGCCCCCAGCCGCGCCATTGACTATGTGCAGAGGCAGGTAAGGAGAAAAGTCTGCTGCAGCAAACATTTTACTTTTGACAGCTAAAGTCCTATGTGGACCAATTATATTCAATAATATTTCAGATTGTGAAACAAATTTCAAATTGTGTTCTGAACCGCAGACTCTGATGATTTCCCCTCTTTATTCTTCTCTATTGTCCTGTTAGCTTCACTGCTGCGGCATCCACAACTACTCTGACTGGAGGAACACGCGCTGGTTTAAAGAATCCAAGAACAACAGTGTCCCAGTCAGCTGCTGTCTGCCCAGCATCAGCAACTGTTCCGGCACTCTCACTCGACCTGCAGATCTCTACCAAGAGGTACAAACAAGAGGCTAAAACCACAGAACAAAGTTCTAGTTATGGATGGCATTTCTTTCTTCTTCTTTGGCACAAACAGAAGTACAATGTAAAATGTTATCTGGTGTTATTCTTGTTTTGTTTTGTGAGAAATGTTGTTATGCCTGTGGAACTATTTTAATGTCATTCATTTTCTGTTGCAGGGTTGTGAAGCTCTGGTTGTGAAAAAGTTGAAGGAGATCATGATGTATGTCATATGGGCTGCACTCACTTTTGCATCTACACAGGTAAGGAGGAGAAATTCAATGCAACCTGAAATCATCTGGGAAAATACAAAATATATTTAGTAGGACCGTTGATGTTGCTCAAATGGATTTTGATATGAAGCAAATCAAGGATGGTATCTTATGGAGAAAAATGGGACAGTAATCCTAAATCTAAGAAAGGACTACAGTCAGTATCACACTGAGGTTAATTAATTCACAACAAATTGCTGCCTCACTGCAGAAAATACACATAAGGCATCTTATTCCATGAGTGTTCAAGTCAAAAGCATGTTGATTGGGAGAATAATGAAAGCTGCAGTCGTCTCTGTCAACACAAGCTGAGCTAACGGCAGCTCTGACCAGGACACCACTGCTCCCAAAGCAGCGACTAAAGACAGCGTGGTCAATCACTTAGTATTACACTCAAACATTCTCATTATAACACAGCATGCGTCCTGTGTGTGTAAAAAGATAATGCTTTAGCATTATCTGGTTTAACATTATTTGCTTTCCACAGTGGTGGTAAAAAAAGAAAGTAATCCAGGAGATCAGGACGCTTGATAAGAACTCGAAAAGAACTGGTTATTAGCTCTTGCTCGTGTTGTTTTCCTGCCAAGGACTCGCATAACCGCTTTTCTTTTGTTCACTTGCTGTCTTGTTTGCAGATGCTGGGCATGCTCTGTGCCTGCGTGGTGCTCTGCAGGAGGAGTCATGACCCTGCATACGAGCTGCTGGTCACAACCAACAGCTACGCATGAGGGAGGAGGCAGACAACCAACGAAGCACTCCATAAATCAAAAGGAGCATCACCACAGTAGATTTCAGCTGTAGTTGTATAAGCTCAAGCACACCTTGCACAATTCCTGATAAAGTAGCGAACACTGGTGATGTGGTTTGGGTGGGTGGGTGCTTCAAGGGTAAACCAGTTATTTATTGACATGCTTTGTAAGTTACTGTTACTTTAAATGTATTTTTTCTCCTTACAAACACTGAAATATTTACAGTGGCCAACGTTGTATATGGCTAATTGACATTATCGATGTTGATGCAGTTTATTTTCTTTTACTGTGGCTTGATCAAATTCCCCAGTGAGGATTGTGAGAAGTAATTTGGAGCGTGATGTGTATAAGAATGTATTTCCTTGTGTGCTAGTTTGCACTAGGGCTGGAGCTCTGGAAATATTTCCTGGTAGTAAAGGAACATCGATGCTAAAAAGAACATGTACAGTATTCCTAAGAACGTGGCTAGTAAGAACCAGATTTTGTGAAAATGGAAAAAAACCTACTTTTTACCATAGACATAACAGATTCAGTGGTTTTGTCTTTACAGTTTTATTTGTGGAGCAGCTTTTCGTTTTGTCTCTCAAAACCATGTTTGGAAGACGTTCTTCATATTCACAAATATTCAGGTTGTGAATAATGTATGTTCTCTTTTGGTGTAGATGTTGGATGTTCTCTGAATCAGGCTTCATTGCCAGTATTTCAATTGTGAATCAACCTTTTAGTCTCCAGTGCTATTAGTAGGAGTATTATCAGTGTTACCTGAAGACCCGTGTATCCATAGATCCAGTTTATTACGGTCAGAGACATCCCTCTCTTTGTTAGTTATACCCCTGCTATGGAAATGATGACATTATTTTATACATTCTTGTGAATTTGTGCACCGTTTTAATATTTCTGAGCTGTTAAGTTGAACCCTAGATATTTAGCTTGTGCCGCAGAAAAAAAACATGAGAAACAAAATTGTGTGTAGACTGGAGAACAGACAGGAGACAAATAAAGTCATACATTTCAATTTAACTGTTTAATTGCCATTTCATCCACTTAGTTTTACATGGAAGTGAGTATATTGCCAGTTAAACCATATACACAGGTAATTATTTGATATTACATCTGTTGCATGAAACATATGAGGATGTTTAAACACATAGCTACGTCATCACTTGACATATATGACAATACTTTCCTTTATACAAACTTTTCTGTACTTTGGTCTACTCAGCACTCAGATAATTCCTAATGCACAGCAGACATATAAATACAGTATTGTAACCTTCAATCTTCCCTAGCTCACAAACATACAAAAAACATTGAAGAAATGCCAAATATAGAACGTGAGAATCCAGGTGCAAAGCCCCACCTGCTAACAGCCTTAACACGTGTGGTTTATTTGGTGATAAATTAAAAATCCTGCACAAAGCATGACGCAAATTACATCAATTGCTGTTGCTTATTATTATGCTACAATTTAAAGTCAGTGGCTAGATAGAGGAGTAGTTTTAAAATGGTGTTTTAAATGGCTTTGCTCGCGAGGCCGCAGCCACCATGCGGGCCATCTCAGGTAATATGCTCTGTAATATAACAAAGTATCTGTAATGCAACGTCAAGTGTCCCTTGTGTGGGAAAACAGCGACACGCATTCCTAACGATTGTTACTCTGCTGCAATTTGATTTGCTGTTTCGCCAAGTACAGCGGTTGTCATCGGCTCGCAGTTGGCAGAAGTTAGTAACTGCGGTCAACACGAATTATGTGGATTATCTTTTACTGCGCACATTTCAAAGTCTGCCTTTTGAAGAAAAACTTTAGATTAAACACCTCATGGCCCACCAGGTGCGGAATATTGTTATAAAGCAACCTGCCTGTAAAAATAATACTATTTAACGTGGAGTAATTCTGCAGGAAGAAACGCCTCTTTCTGAGACGATTAGCTACCAAACAGGAAAGCAGCAGGACAACGCGGTATCATTGGAAGAGCTGAATTAGCTAGCCAACGCTACCCAAATGGACAACGCAAACGGTGAGTGGAGGAGAACAAGTACGAGCCCAGTTGGATTATCATATGTATTAAACTGTGTGGTAAATGTGAAATTTTGTTGGAGCATTAATTAAGATAAATGTAGTGGCTGCTCATTTTACCGTCCTTCTTGGCCACTTCTTGCAGGATGTAAAGGGTTCTGACTCGCGTAGACTAACATGTCCAATTTACGTGCTCTTGCAGGCTAAACTTTTCTTGCTAGCTGTCCAAAGATGAGGCTCGTAGCTCGTAGTTAAAAGTAGTTTTATTCCATGTAAAAAATAAACAAAATCTTTAAGCAATAAATGGAGTACCAAAGCACTGACCTTCTGCTGGCTATAACTAAAAAGTCTATAATCTGCATTCTATAATCTGCATTCTATAATCTGCGATCTATAATCTGCGGTCAGAAAAATTTGTTGCTCCACATCCTGCTCCATCAAAGCCTAACTTGCACTGAAAACTCACTTAAAGGAGTCAACCAATAATTATCCAATAGCAGGACAGAATAGAGGAGCCTTTATCTTCAAAGGGCAAAACACACATTTGAAGCACATTTTACAACATGAGCAATCTTTTAACTCTATTATATGGTAAACATTCTAAAGGGAACAACACATATACTTTTGCAATAAACATAAAATACAAAAAATGTTAAGAATACAAAATGGCTCTTACACTAAATGTAAATCGTAAATCTAATCGTTGATTTAAAAAAAGAAGCTCTGTTATGGTTGCAATGTAGAACCTCTCTTGCACTGGCATAATGCTAGTTGTTCTTCTATTAGCGTATGGAAGTTTGTTCGTCAGACTCACATTGAAAATATGACATATACTGACAAAGCAAAGTCACTGCAAGCCGTTTTAAAACGGTACCATCCAAATGTTGAACTCCAGCTGGTTCATCGTTCAGATTTTGCCCAGATAGTTTCCTGGCACCAGTCCAGCCAGTCCGTTCCTCTCCACTGTCCACCAGCCGTCTTCTTCTCGTGCCAACACTCGGACCATGTCCCCTCTACTGACAGACAGTTCATCCTCTTCCTGACCAGTCGTTATGAACAAAGATGACAATTGTTGGTTACAAAATGGGTGACACTAAGGAGCCTTTATCACTGGCATCTCTTACCTGAATACCTACATACTCTACAATTGGAGTAACGGTACTGTAATGGTACAGTAGTTGACACAACGTGGTTTCATGTCCAGTAACGTCTTAGTATTGCAAATAATACAAAATAACGTGTCGTAGTAATCACCTGGGCAGTGTATTCATAAAGTACAATGTAGTTGTCTTCATCAGCTGAAACTGTGGCCGATGATGCTGCATGCTGGAGGCCTGGTAGGGGCGCATATCCTCCATCTGAACTCTCAACTGAAGCCAGAGTGAAAGTAGGCGTTTGAAAATGCTTAATGTTAACTACTTTAGAGAAATACAACTTTATGTACACAACACATTGTATGCAGCACATTGATATTTCATTCATTTAAAATGTGCAACTAAGTGAATTTTCTTCAATCACATATTTATTTTTGTTACAAATCTTTTATATTAGATTCGACGTTATAAGTAGGCCACAATTATCAGAACGATATGAACATTCAGGCTCTTTCATGTGGCTCAAAGGTGCATATATACATCTTAAATAAATGACCGATGGAAGAAATTATGCAAATGTCCTGCCACCCATCTGTGTGAACAACTGGCATCGAGGGTATGGTGTTTTGCAAACATATACAATAGTTTTCTAGTTACATCTTAATTCCATTTGAATTGTATAAAATCGGCTCAAATCTGAACTTTCTTTTGAAATCTTATGGTAATTATTGTGGTTGTCTTTAAGCTCAAATGTAAGATCATGCAAGAACAATTTTAAAGGCTGACATGTTCATTACTCCCCTCAATGGTCTCAGAGAGATCCAACAAATGAATGCAATACTTACTCTCCCCAAAAGGTGTCGTTGCTGATTGTGAGTTTTGAAGACTGTCGGCACTGATGTTCAGAGAACTTGAGAGAAGGGGATCAGAGCACCTGAATGATCCAGGTCAGGGTAGATATTTAGGATATACACAGAAGTGTTCAGATAAACAGACAATTAGGTCTAAATACCATCTGCATCTGAAAGGTACTGAAGAAAGCTGAACCAGGAGGAGACAGCATTTACTTACTGCCACAACAACCTGGCAGTATTCATGTGTTATACCCTTAGCCCTAAAGGTTGTACAGTAACAATGCTGTCTCCTCCTGATTCCTGCTCCGATGTGGATCGTGTCAGACCTCATCATCACGTCTTCTTCTCCTACTGCGAAATGAGCTTGGCCGTTGCTGTCCCGGGATCTCTCCGTCTGGTAGAAGCTCTCATACAATATGGGCTCTGTGTGGGGGAAAAGAGAAACGGCTTCTTTGAGAAGTGAGGTCAGGTGTGGCTTCCTGTCTTTGTGTTCACTGAAATAGAGAATTAGAAGTTGAGTAGCACTCTAAATCCAGTTCTTTTGTGTCCCTTCTTTCACTTCTCTCCTTAAGGTTGTAGTTTTCTCTGAAGGGTAAAGGACAATCTACACGTTGAGTAGTCTCTTACCTGGAGGCCTCGTTCCTGTGCCTTTCATCCCTATGAAATAGTTGTTGTCTGTGGTGATGTCACACTGTTCCAGTTGCTTCCTCACCTCCTCGATAAACTGAAAAACAAGAGTCAATTCCTTCGAATTGTGCACTTCCTGTCTAACATCTTTGTGGTTTGAGATTTTAATTTCAAATGCAGTTATCCATGCAAAGAAATTAAGCATGTATGAAAGGTGATTTCAAAATCATCCACCAAATGTGTGACATGTGCTGTTGGTTCCTGCTTTCAACAAATAGTCTACATATGTACATATCTACAGTCACGCTTGCATTGGGGCTGCACTAATCTGCATGCTAACCTCAGTGTGCTAACATGCTCACAATGACAAAGCTGTTGTTTAGAAGGCATAATGTAAACCATGTTCACCATCTTTGTTTAGCGTGTTAGCATGCCAACATTTGCTAATAAGCACATCTTGGGACCATGAAGGTCTTCTAAAGTTTAATGTTTAGGCCTCACCCCAAGCTGAACCCAGAGGGCTAAAGGGCAGTTCACCCCAAAATCAAAAATACATTATTATCCTTTTACCTGTTGTGCTTTTTATCAATCTGCATTGCTTTGATGTGAATTGCCTAATTTCTGACATATCTGCCATACAGAATAAAATATGACTATATGGCATTCGACTTGACTTGACTTGCTCAAAAGGCCCAAAAAATTCATTAGAAAACTGCAATTTATCTTTCCAGAAATCATGACCCTGTTACTCAAGATAATCCACAGACCTTGAGCAGTTTAAAGTTGGAACTATTTCCTTTCAACCATAGCTTTTAGATGAAACTGTGATATAGTCCCATTATGTTCCAGAGAAGGCCGAAATCTCTACGACTGATATCTCCAAACTAGGCAACTCACAAAACAATCTGTATTTATATATAGCACTACAGGTAAGAGGAAAAATATGTATTTTTGATTTTGGGTTTATATCCATTTAAATATACTTAAAGAAAGTAAGCTCACCTCATCATCATTGACACACTGCATGGAGAAATGATTGCAGTGGTCCCAGAGAGAACACCTGAGCATGCTGATGCGATCTCCCTCCAGTTGCTGGAACACCTGAGAAACAAACACTGCTGGTTTCTACTGTGCCAAAGTCCATATCACTGACTTCAAAAAACTTGATTCCTTTCTGTTCTGTACAGCTTGTTATGCTGCATTAGTGCAAACCGGCAGTATTATCTGAATATATTAGGAATGACTGATGTGCCAATTGTGTAAAATGAATTGAAAAAGCAAAACGGATCTCAACTTTGAAAACGTTACTTTGTGGTTGTGGGTTTGCAGTTCCACTTTTAGCACGCTCAAGATCTGTATTTCCTCATTGGTCAGTAGAAAGGTGCTGTGAGAGGAATCATGCTTGCAGATAAAGGGGACTTGGTGTGAGGTCTAGTCTGTGTGGTTAGAAGCCCTCGTTTTGGTTCATGATGTGCTTGTACTAATATAGTCCCCAGTACCTCGCAGGTGCTTTTGTGTGTTTCTTCCCAGTCCTGGCGAACACTCTCTAGCTGAGCAATGTTGGTAAAGTACAGCTTCTCTGTGAGAGATTGCAGTATCATTATAGATGGTTATAGGTAGAAATGTAACACAGCAACAAACACTAATGTATTAGACAAATCATGTACAGTGCAACTTTTTTTCTAAATTCATATAATCTTTGATGGCTGTATTGAACAATGTCATGAATACTGACATACACTTTACAGGTTAAATATAGAAATTCTAGAGAGGAAACATGATTCTGGGTCATACCTGCTTCATTGGCAGCCTGTCTAGATTGCTTTGCCCTGTGACGCATCTGTGAAACAAGGTATTACAAGGAAGTGACATGCATGACAAGTGTGACAAGCTCTCATCACAAACTGGAGAGAATTCATCACATTAAAACATTATCAAAATAACCTTATCAGGCCAAAGCATGTCAGACCTGTTGAAAAGATGTCTATAGCACCTTTCTTGAATATGCAAAAGTCTAAATATTATCAGAGTCATTTAGGGAATATGCAAAAGATTGAATGTACTTTAAAGGAGATGACAGATGTAACAGCCGCTCATGAACATATACTAAGTTCCTCCTAATAGAGTTGCAGAAAAGTTCCACCACTAAACTTGCAGTTTGAGGTGCAAAGCCAAATATCTAAATGGAAGTCTGTATTTGAATTCCTTAAAACCTCCAACTGGTCTGACAATACTCTTATAGTGAGGTAACCAGTTTAGTTAATATACCTTTTCTGAGTTTTTGGATGCAACGGTTGCCCCCTGTTCTGCCTCGTCCGCCTCTCTGCACCTCAGCTCATAATTCTTCTTAGACTGTAAGAGACAGAGACAGAAACCAGAGTTCCAAGAGCTGTGTAATGTTTGTTCTTTATGCCAGTGATGAGCATAAATACAGCATGGCATCAAATCAGTGCCTCAACAATGACAAAAGAAGTCATGCTTGATTTCTGGATTAAATGCAAAATGTAATAATTGAAATATCAGCTTCAGCTGTTACTTACTTCCACGGTCCTCTTGTACAAAGAAACCTTTTTCTTCTGAACCTTCTCCATGATGCTTTGGAACTATATGGGCAACGAGAATGCTCTTAAAATATTGATTGTATTCATCTACTGTGTATTCTTTTGATACCCACAGTTACTGACATGCTGTGGAAACTTAAAAAAGTTATTTCTAACTTGATCTAAATGGAAATTCTGAAATAACTTGTTCAGGTTTAATAATGACTGGAATTTTGTTATCATGGTAGGAATTCTAGTGGTGCATGCATTACTTGGCGATTACTTAGCTTTGTAAATATTAATACATATTTATTACCTATACAGGAATTTAAATGACCTTAGGGATACGTACAATCTGCACTCGGGTAGAGAAGAATAGAGACAAGCTAGAGAAAGCCATCAAACCTCACCTCTATATGTGTGCACAATAAGTCAGTTGTTAAACACAAATGGCCCAGTACCTTCTTCCTCTGCTCTTTCTGCCGCTCTCTGAATGTCTCAATCTTTTTCACCTCCTCTTTCAATACATCGGACAGCTGGATGTGAAAGTTACCAATGTTCTCGATTTCTGCAGCCAAAAACAGCAACATGAATCAATTCTACATGTTATAGACACAGAAAAAGACAGCAGCAAGTACTTTAGTGAGATTTGTCCTTGGCTAGATAAACTTACGTGTTTTTAACAGTTCAAAGGATGCTCTCAAGGTGCTGGAAAAAACAATGCACATTTAGGATCAGACAAAAATGAGGGAAAGCTCAGTACAACTGAAATGGAAACAGGAAATCTGGCAACATATAATGACCCACTGTTGCTGCGGTAGGTTGCACATACCCACAGCCACTCATTTTTTCTTCTTCTTCTCTTTTTCTGTCTCACAGATATAGATTTTTGCTTCCTTTCAAAATAATACATGACTCATAGACTCCATCCTGACTGATGTTTCATATGTTGTGAGTCAGTTTCAATCAGCACTAAACTCATCATATTGTCATTTCAACAAAATAAATACGTGACCCTTTTTTCTAATATGTCTTACTTAAATACCAAGTGTACAGTATGTGTGTACAGTACATGCTGTTTAATTAAGTCGCTGTATTTACCTGGTCTCTGTGTGTCCTCCTGCTTTGCGAGCAATAGTCACCAGTTCCTTCCCATACCTCTCCTCTGCTAGTGTCCTGTGAAGTATGAACACAAATGCATCACACTGGAGCCCAGAATTAGTTTTTTAGTATTTACTTACAAAACTGAACAGTGGTTTTCTTGTCGTAACAAAAGAGACGCGTTACGCTTCCCTGTAGCTTGTTGTGATATGCTACCATCATTTACCATCATTACTTTTATTATATTGGATTACATCTCGAGGTTTACCGCATATGACTGTAGTACTCTATTATCATTTGCTGTATCCAGTATTTGTGGTGGTGCTGAATATTTTTGCTGAACAGAGAAAAATTGACCAACTGTATGAGATGCAAGGCAGCGGTGGGACTAAAGGTGCGTTCACACCAAACGCGGCGCGAATTAATCGTGCCACGTTTGGTGTGAACGCACCTGAAAACTGAACACAGGTGTGACCGATTACATGCTCTGTTGTCTCATGACAATAAAAACTTCAGTAGCCTCAATTATTTGCAGAGTAATCCAGTTGTTTTGTCTAGAGAACTGGCCCTTGCTGGAGAACGCTATATTTACTTCGATTTCTATCCATGTTATGGTAACATACGTAACTACACAACAATCACAAAAATTTGAATTTCCCAAATGCACAAGTTTTGGATACAGACTGACGCTACCTCATCTTTAAAAGCTCCTCCACATCTTTGCACATACGCCTTCCATCTTGCAACCTTTGGATCACAGCATCATAGCCTGCGTGACAGGTGAAATTGGACCCCTGTATTTAGAAGACATAGAACAAGCTTAGAGAAACACTGCAATGAACAGCATTGCTCAACAACGGTTGCAACATGTTCTTGAGTCAATCCTGGACTCACTTTGTGGTAAAAATGCAGAACTAGCATTTTGCAAAAATAGTATGTATGACATGGCAACACTCTCAGTACTTCATGAAACTGCCCCTTAAAGAGTAGAGCAGATTGACAGTAAGTAGATCCACACAGATGGACCTTGTGGCACAAAGTTTGAGGGTATTTATGAACTGTAAAACTCATCAGTACTGTCTTTGTTCGGTGATACAAAATTGCCAGAACTTAAGAATTCAAGAAAGATAATTTGACCTCTACACTCTAAACGTTGGCTAGTTTAAGTCTGCAGAATACTGGTAATCAAGGGATTTTCTTTTGTAGGTACTTTTGATTATCTGCAAAATTAATGAATTCAATTGTTTAAAAAATTTGCTTAAAATGTGAATTCTACATGAAAAATGTACCATGAATGATTGCATGACTGCGACGACACCAATGCACATTCAGCTTTCAAGAACAAGGACAACCACAGCAAAGCACGACAGACTTACCCAGAAAGCGTCTTTAAACATCAAAGGTGTCTTCTCACTTGTTACTTCCATGAACTGAACACAGTTGCTTTTCTCAGTGTGAACTTCTTTTACTTCTCTCTCTCTCGCTCCCCAACAACCTAAATAAAGTATTTGAAGGCTGAGTAAACTGTGTTCAAGCGGTGAGTGGCCTGAACGTCAGAGAGTCATTATGAAAGAGGAAGAGCTTCTGTCCCATGATGTCACTGACCACAGTCAGCTCAGCTCATGTGTGCGACAGCATCTCTTTCACCTTTCACTATCACTTGGTGTACAAGGCTGAATGTCTAGTTTAAAGGTTTTGTAAGGTTTTGTCAAACACAACAGCCGATATATATATATATATATATACTGTATCTGCTTGGATAATATAGTCTGTATGTCTCTGTATTTGATGTAATCTGTTAGCTGAAGATGAACTTTGTATTTGTTGTTTGGTCATTTAGTGACAAACTCAGTCATACAGTGTGGTTTCAGTCTCAGCTTCAGATGGCTGGCAAGCACCTAGAGTGGCTGTGTTACAAAATAAATACAACATCATTATTATGTTATATTATTATCATACTTCATCAATATGTTGGCACTTCCATGTAATAAATAAATATCTCCAAAAGATGTGTTGTGACAGACAAACATTTTCATCCGACTGTTGTCCTGCACGTTCCTGTGATGAACACAAGGGGGAGACACAGACCTTTCTAGAAAATATCAAACAACCCTCGAAGTATTACACGGGATCAAACCCTCCCGTGACAGAGTCAGTAGTTCTCAAATCTCCACGGGGGGGGGGGGGGGGGGGGGGGGG